GGATTACTTCAATTTCATTACTGAATGAACGAATAGTTATTACCTTCTTATGTGAATAGGAACTGGTTACAAGGGAAAGGATGTTTTTCTACTAGGTTTTTTCTCCCCTTATTCTTATTCAGCACGCTCGACATTTTACAAAGGCTCAAAGCTTTGGAAATCTTAATAGGGAGAAAGGCTTTCTTTACAAATGTGAGCTAATTGTATACAAAACAGCCCAGATATTCATATTATCAACGAAAGTGCCTAGGCTCTGCCTGCACTTGAATTTCAAGTTATGATGTGTTGACTTCATCAACTCTACGATGTCATCTAAAAATTGTGACCTAAAACCTTTTCTGTTAAGCAGGTACACTTGCTTAGTAGAAAAGATATTCTAAAGTGGAAAAAATAGATAATTTATAGTTTTAGCAACATTATTTACTCTGATCTTTTCAAAAACAGGTTAGAAAGGCCACATGAGATAATCCAACAAATTCTGTAGAGTCCGTGTTGATAAGAAATTGTTGCTAAAAATACAATCATGTTTCCAAGTCTTTAATTAGTTGTAACATTTAGAAGTCAATAAACACAAAAACCAATGAAATATACTTATTTTCTTATAAGGTACCTATTATTGCACATGAGGCCCAAAATAAAAAGCTATGTGGGCATATGTTAACCAAAATACATGTATGCAAGGATGGGTCCATGTTAATAAAAGCATTAAAAGAATTTCCTATTTACCATTTGACCTACTTGACATTTTCCAAAATATTCTTACACAGAATGCTCTGAGACTAAAGCTGACATTATATATGTCAGCATAGAACCACATGATAAGAGTAACTTGGCAGAACAAATTAATTTTTTAACAAAGGGTTTAACATACTATTTTTAAAGACAATTAACTATCTTCCTAATTATCTGTCAGGACCTTTATCTGTCAATTCAGTTAAGTCCTTAACTACTGAAAGGTTTTTTACTAACTGATGTATACCATCTTCCAATCTTAACTTCACCAAGGAGATTACAATTTTCTAAAATATTTTAAAATTATTTAATATGTGAGATAGTAAAATGTTTGGGGTAGCCAAAATAAAAGCCAAACTTTATAAATAGTAATACAACATCCAACCTTCTTTCATTAAACAAAACAAAAGCAAAACAAATCACCCAGCATTTTCTCTTTTATATACTAGGAAACATGATTCATTTTTTTTAAGAAAAAAAGAACTTAAAATGTCAATAATGTCTTAGAATTAAAACTTATGATATCACATTTAAAAAACAAGATGGATAATTTAGTGGTTAAGAGGATAGGCTCTGAAGTCAGGCTGCCTGGGCTAATTCCAGTTCTACTACATGCTAGCTGGAGTAACTTGGAAAAGTTAAGTCCCGCCTATATATAGAGATGTAATAGCACCACCTCACAGGGTTGCTCTAAGCATTTTAAACATATTAACTCATTTAATCCCCTCATAAACACCATAGGGCAGTTACAGATATCATGCTCACGTTCCAGATATGCTAAGTGACATTGGGGAGGTTAAGTAACTTGCCCAAGGTAGAGTAAGTTGTAGAGCCAGGAGGCCAAGCCAAGGGTTCTGGCTCCAGAGTCAGCACTCTTAACCACTTCACTGTAGAGCCGCTGAGATGCTCCCGAGGAAGGAGGGAGATGGTATGACTGATGAAAAGAGAAAGAAGACAGAAGTGGGAATCAAGAGGTAACGCTAATACCACCAAAACTTCAGGGGGGTAACTATGCTCACAGAACACTAGGTGCACAAGGATTTTTCATAGAAAATGGTAAAGAGGTAGAGCTTTGCACCTGGGGGGAAATGAGGCTAAACAGAGACAAGCAACAGCAGACAGGGGAGCTAAAGGACAAGGAGGCCTCAGCCAACATCTGGGGGACCTGTCTTGTTTGGATCATTTGAACAAGGTATAGTACCAGCTGTATCACAAATTAAATTGCTATCCTGAAACTACAACCGTAGTGATTCCTACCATAACTGTCCAACTGCTAGACATACGGTACTGGGTACATCACCAATCCTGCCCAGTCCAAGATGGTCTTGGGAAAACTCCCTCAAAATACAGCATGTCTTCGGGAAAATGTACCATTAGAGCTTAGATATATCAGATGGAACAGCTGGTACTGACAGCCTATTAGAGTAATTAAGTCCTGGAAATTCTCTCATGAAACAGCAAATTTGGACATTTGTGTGTCTTTTGAGGCTCAATTAAAGACTACTTCTTAATCTACAGTCTTTCCTGGAAAGGGAAAGGCACCCTACAGCAGATAAGCTTCACCTGCTGAGGCAGAATGCCCTGGAAACTGGGCCCCTACTGGGATAGCTATAAGACAGGCAATGGAACATCTAGCTAAGGCTATATATGCTACCAAAAAATGGAGGCGATCTTAGAAAGAGCAGCATCAGGGGCCATTTTGGTTGTGGTTAAAATTTGTCTCTGAAATGCTCCAAAGTGGCAGGCCACAAAGGTAGAGATAAATAAGATGCATAAAAAGGTTTTGAGGGCCAGCATTAGAAATTCTACGTGTTCTCAAAGATGCCAGTGCACCCAACTCACATACTTTAAATGGCTATTTGGTAACAAAAAGAATAATACCAATTTCAAATCATGAAACAACAGAAAAGAACAAAGTTCTCTGCACATGTGTTAAAACTACAGAGGTGTTTTAAAATGAAGAGTACAGAACAGTTTGGAAAACCAGGCTTTGCTGGAAAAAATTCTTCCAACAAATTCTGAGAGAAGAATTTATTGTGAAATTCCTGAAGAAGCAGAAAATTCAAATGAGGTCAAAGGCACCCCTGAAGTTTTTCTGTTAGTGAGGCTAATTCAGGAGGTGAGAGGAAAGCAACAATGGCAGCTTTCAAGGAACTAAAATTGGGGTTGACAGAGCCAGTTATGACTTAGAAGCCAAAGTTCAAAGCCCTGACAGAGTAAGAGGGAAGGGTCAGAAAAGCAGTTATGTCCACAGCACCCCACCTTATCTCAGTCAAAGGATACCCAGAAAAACCATCAGGAGACTAGGTACAGTGGCTTAAGCCTATAATACCAGGCTGAGGTAGGAAGATTGTTGAGGCCAGGAATTCAAGACCAGCATGGGCAATATAGCAAGACCCCATCTCTACAAAAAATAAAAAAATCAGCTGGACGCAGTGGCTCACGCCTATAATCCTAGCACTTTGGGAGGCCAAGGCCAGAGGATCCCTTGAGCCCAAGAGTTCCAGCCTGGGCCACAGAGTGAGAGACCCTGTTTCTATAAAAACAAAAAACAAGTAAAACCATCGGCCCTGATGGAAGATTTAAGCCCCACTATTTTGCCTCGGATATAAGGGATCTGGTTTGAAAGAAAACAATTCTGACCAACTCCAAGCTCCTACCCCTTTCTCAAGCCCTATGAGACAGATTCAGAAAAACACACAGGCCTGCCAGAACTGGGCTGTCGAAAGGACGGAAAATTCTATGGTAAAGTTTATCCATGAGAAAAATTCTATTCTGGTCTCCCAGATATGAGAGTCAAGAAATGGAAGAGAGCCAGAGAGGTAAAGAGACCAGATCCTAAAGAGAAGGGCTAATGAGGCAGAGACCTACCCAACCGTACCTCTTCTAAATGCGAGGAGGTCGGAGGCATGGCTGAGAGGTGAGCCCTGGCTCTGAGAGGGGAGGAAGCACAAGAGAGGGCATAAGCTGAAATTCAGGATTGCCTCTCACTTCTCAATGCATACAGAGCATTTACCGAAGTTGGCGGACCCCAGTCTGACCTGGTCAAGATAAAGGAAGTGACCGGGTGGCAGTGGCTCACACCTGTAATCCTAGCAGTTTTGGAAGCTGAGGCGGGAGGATTGCTTGAGGTCAGGGGCTTGAGAACAGCCTGAGCAACACAGCAAGAGCCATCTCTACAAAAAATAGAAAACTTAGCCAGGCACGGTGGTGTGCACCTGTAGTCCCAGCTACTCAGGAGGCTGAGGCAGAAGGATCACTTGAACCCAGGAGTGTGAGGTTGTAGTGAGCTATGATCATGTCATGCCCAGACAACAAAGCAAGACCCTGTCTCCAAGGAAAAAAGAAAAAAGATAAAGGAAGTAACAGGCAGGAAACCAGTATCTGGAAAAGGAAACCCTGAGAAATATCCCAGGGAACAAACACTGTATGAGTTAATGCAACCTTCTCAGACAAGGAACTGCAATTTGGTGGGAGGAGGTCCAGAGTGAAAAAAGATGCGTACACAAGGGGACACTAGGTTTTGGCTAGTCTGTACCACACTGGAGAGAGAATGTCTGGGAAGAACATAAACAGACTTCAAATCTCTTCCTCAGGGAAAAGATGTGATATGACATAGAGGAAATTTTATTTTTTAGAATTCCCCTTGGGAAGAGCACTGTATTTGACTGAAAGAAATATTTTTGAAAGCCACTACAATCTTTAAAATTAGCAGGTATTAATTTCATAATAGAAAATAGTCTTAACAACATTTAGGAAACACTATTTAACATATTATATTTGGATTTAAAAGTCTACTTCATTTGTACCCTACATATCCATAAAAAAATAAAGAAATTAAAGTCTACTTCATTCAGCAAATATTTATTGGATGCTTAATTTAATTTCAGGTGCTAATTTAAGAAATAAGGTTGGTACTATTTATAAGACAGAACTTGAATTCACCAAGGATTCTTCAAGATTTGGGTTTTCCATAGTTAAAAAGGTTCACTAGTTTATCAGATGGAAAAAAGGGAGTGATTTCACAAATTTAATTTGGAGTACACAGCCAAACCAATATATAAGAAAAATCTGACTTGATGACAATATTCCAAGTAACTGATGACCTTTAACTTTATAGATTTCCCCTTTTTTCAAAAAAAAATTATACAGATAAATTAATCTGAAATTATAAGAAATAATTTAAAAATCATTCATATAATTATCAAGTAATCTTTAAAGAAAAAATGATTCATCTAATGATGATTTTGTTTCTTAAAAAGACTCACCTATAAGGACGAATCCATCTGCTTCTGTCTCTGGTACTGAGGGCTTTTTAGATTCTGGAGGCTTTCTGAAGAAGTGAAACATTGTTTCTGCTGCTGCTGATATCTGAAATAGAAATGCTACATAATATCAAATTCAGATGAAACCAGAAAGCTCTTACCCTTTTTAGTAAAAAGGCAAACATCAAGCTATCACAGTAATTATTCTTAGGAATTCTTTTGCAAGACTTAAAACCACGAGCCTTCTCCAGGTGTCAGATGACAAAGCTAGAAATTAAGGTGCATGGAGTTTCATTTTAAAATCCTATATTCCTAGAAGTCAACAACGTAACTTCTCTCAGTTTCTGAAGATTCAGGAAAAAACCCAAGAAATCACTGCACGTAAAGCTAAAATCAACACTTAAAACAGAATCTGGAAGGATCTCACTAACCATAAAAAAGGCACTGCTTTGGGGAAAAGATGCCATAACTACCTTACGTGTCATAAAACTAAGGCTACCTGAAAAAAGAATGGAAAGCACGTCGAACATCCTCTACTGTTGGTTACCTGATTCAGACACTCAAGGACTGTACTCATGGTAAAATTGCAGCCAACTTAAATTCCCATCAGTGCAGATCTTTTATATCGGTGAGATTATTGTGCACTGCCCCACCGCCACATACAAACACACTACTACTACTCCCATCTTTGTACATTCAAGCAGGGCAACAATTTCTAGAAAATGTCTGAGAAGAAAGTTGAAGGGCACTTGCAAGAACACATGACATTCTGAGGACAGTCCCTTATAAGCCAAAAAATATATGAGAAAGCAAATAAAGAAGAATCTTGATGGCAGCAAGTGCTCCAAGTTTTAGTTTTCATACATTTTACCCACAACAAAAATTAAGCAGGAACGGTAGGTAAGGAATTAATCTAAGTGAAAGCCTTCTAAAAACTGAGAATTATAGCGGATTTACGCAGACTGCCCTGACCTGAGATGTAGATCCAAGACGGGTATTAACTCCACCATAAGTGGATGGTAAAAGGAACATATTTGTTGACAGAAAACATAACTGGCAAATTTCACTTTTAAAAGGAATAAAAATAGAGAAGAAAAACACAAGCCATGTGAAAAAGAAAATATTCTAGTAAAGGAAAAGGAAGAGACTCTGAAATCCTCAAAGAAAGAGCTTTGCCTATAGCAGGGAGAGAGGACTGATATACAGCGAACACAAATGAGAACCAGGAAGCCGTTAGGGCTGTTCTCTGGCTCTGCTTTACGGTGACATAACAGGACAGTTTTCTCTAACCTCCTTGGAGTTAGGTGTGGCCATGTGATTTGCTTTATTCACTGTGTCACATGCCATTAGAGTGCTACAAAAAGTTTTGTGGACACAGAGAAGGAGAGGCCCTTTAAAAAGCAGCTCTTCTCATATATAGATAACACCCTTTTAATAGAAGGGCTCAAATATCCAATATCTTTTCCAATATCTTTTGATGTCTGGCCACAAAGCAGAAATGGAACAAACATAGAAATCACAAAAATAGTCCTGATAAGTCATTCTCAAACCCCCCCAAGTTTAAATATGTTGTTACAAAAACCAGACCAAACTCAGGTGCAGTGCAAGGAAAGAATCTCTTTTCAATCCAAGTATTTTGTATAAAATTTATAATTTAAGTAATTAAGTGAAGCATTTAAGTTTTTCATGACCTAAACCATCAAATGTAAACAATATGCTCACTGCAGTAGTTTGTTAGATAGGAGGCCTCACCAGCAAAACATAACATTACAGTCTGTCACTTCAGAACATCAGAATACGGTAATGTCCCAAATATGTTAGAGAAGGAGGGATACTTCAGGTTCCAGGGGTCAAGAAACTTCTAGGTATGAAAGAAACAGGTCAGGAATAAGGCAAGGGAAGCAGACACTGTAGAAAAGAACTGAGAATGGCAGCGAAGATTAGTTTACTACAGTATCCATAGGATACAGCTCTGAAATTGTCACAAAGGTACCAATGACCCTCATACCTATCACTCCACCAACCTGACCACCGCCCTAAGTCTTCCCTCAACTACAGTCCACCTCAAGATGTTCTTCTGTGGGAACATGGTTCCAACTTTACAATACAAGTCTTGGGATTCCCTTGTATGACTAATACTGCTGCTGACATTGATTCATTCCACTAGGTACCTAAAGTTAGTCTAACAATGTATCTTTAGAGTAATTTCTCCATGCATGAAAAGAATATGTGCTAAGACAGTAAAATCTGCAATCAGATTATCTTTATCCCATGATATTCTTTTCACATCACTCAAAAATACATATAGATGTAAAAATTTACCCTCAGGGAGAGAGGCTGGCAAATAACATTCTAAGATCTCCCCTCTATGAGGGGAGCAGCCAGGTTTAGTAACCCTGCCTGAGATTCGAAAGAAGGGCAGTAACTACAAATGCCACTAACATTTGCTGAGTTCCTACAATGTGTCAGGAACCTTGACAAAATGCTTTATATAGTAGTCCCCCATTATCCATGGGCGTATGTTCCAAAACCCCCAATGGATACCTGAAACCAAGGATAGTACTAAGCCCTATATACACTATGTGTTTTCCTATACACCAGTCCATGAATAATACTGTTTCATTCAACATCTTTTCGTTATAGCATTGATAGGGGAAAAAATTGATTTCTGGTTGAAGCCACTGTCTGTGTGGAATTTGCATGTTCTCCCCATGTCTATTTGGGTTTACTCCAGGTACTCCAGTTTCCTCCCACATCCCAAACATGCGCACATCATGTGAACTGAAGTGTCTACATGGTCCAAGTATGAATTAATGCTGGTATGTGTGTGAGAGAACCCTGAGATGGGATGGCGTCCTGGCCAAGGTGGACTCCCACCTTGCACCTTGAGGTGCCTGAAGAGGCTCCAGCCACCTGCCACCCTGAACTGGAATAACTGGGAAAATAATGATCTTACTTGTTTTTATTAATCTTTCTTGAATGTATGTAGAGCTCACATTTATTTCGATGCTTATTATTAGAAGTGTTTTGGTCTTTATTTAGAAATTTGGTGACGTTTTTGTGACCAGAAATATGCTATAGGAACTTAACTCTTGTTTCTACCAATTAGCCTATGGTAAAACTGGTTTCATTATATGTCATTTTGCTTAAGTTGCAGATTCCAAGAACCTATCCCTGACATTGAGTGAGGACTTACTGCACAAACATGGATGGCTATGATAAAGTTTAATTTATAAATTAGGCACAGCAAGAAATTAACAATAACTAATAATAAAATAAATATAATTGATTACAATTATAACAATATACAGTAATAAAAGTTATGTGAATGTGGTACCTCCTTCCCTCTCTCTCAAAATATCTTATTGTATTGTACTGACCTATTTCTGGAGCTCATGGGTAACTGAAACCACAGAAATCAAAACCACAGACAAGTGGGGACTACTGTATATGCCATCTACTATAATCCTTACAATAACCCTACCAGTTGTACACAACTATTCACATTCTGTAAGTGAAAGAATTGAAGCAAAAGTAGGTTAAATATTGGTCCAATTTTCTGTGGCTAGGAAAAATAGAGCTTAATTTTAAACCAAGTCCTGTCAACAGCAAAATTGAATGTTTTTTATCAATAAATCATCAGAGATAAGGAGCCCTTAACACTTAAGACATTTGTGTTGGACTTTCGCTAATATTTAATATTAGTTAAATACATTTGATTATTTCTGTCTTTGTCAATCTCTATTTTTCTGAGCCTTGTTCAGTTCTATGTTCTGAAGACATTTACTAATTCCACAACATGTTTGAAGACCTTCACTTACTTTATATTTATATTTTATAAACATTTATTAAGTGCTCAGGCCAGATACCAATCCAGCACTGCAGATGCAGCCCTGCACTTATATTTAGGGAGAGCAAATTGCAACCTCAGCCCACCATGCTTCTGAGGCAATTCTTGGCAAAACTAAGAGTAATTTAAGAGCACCATCCCCAAAGTGGAGGAGGCCCATAATAGTGCTGCTGTCCCAATCCTAGTATATGTAACACTTGTTTCTGATGTTACATGGCCTTGACAGCTGGACTTCTTTTGCCTGGAGTTCCTCAGCAGACTCCAGTCTCATTTCCTTCTTTATAATTTTCAGTAATTTTTAAATTGTCTACCATGAGCAAATTTGGTATTCATAAATGAGAAAAATGCCAAAACTTATTTTTAAAAATCCATTATTAGCTAGCAGCAATTTGCCTGGCTGAGCTAGGACCCAACCCAGAATGCATCTTAATACTCAAACACGGGGATCTGGAGCTACCTTGACACAAATGGAGGATAAAGAATTCACCTGTCCAAGCCACAGGCTGGGAGAAAATACCTGCCAATCACATATTTGATAAATAATGTGTATCTATAATAGAATGTATAAAGAACTCTTAACACTCAATGATGAGAAAAAAGCTCAGTAAAAACGGGGCAAAAGATATGAACAGCCCTTCACCATGGAAGATATACAGATGGCAAACAAACACATGCAAAGATGCTCAACATCATTAATCAATAAGGAAAAGCAAATTAAAATATCAATCAGATACCATTACACACTCATTAGGATATTTTAAATTAAAAAGACTTGCCCGTGCCAAGTGCTGGTGAAGATGTGGAGCAACTGTAACTCTTGTACATTGGTGGTAGAACCGTAACATAGTACAACCACCTGGACAACAGTTTGGCAGTTTCTTAAAAACATAAATATACACCCACCGTATGACTTAGCCCTTCTACTTCCAGGTATTTACCTAAGAAAAATGAAAGCCTATGTCCATACTTGTACACAAATATCATTAACAGCTTTTTTTTGTAATAACTAAAAACTGGAAACAACCCAAACATCTAACAAGCGGTAAAGGGATAGATAATAGTGTGCCATACCCATAATACTATTCAGCAATAAAGAGGAACCGAGTACCGGTAAATGCTACAACATGCAAGAATCTCAAAAAATTAAGCTGAGGGAAAGAAGCCAGACAAAGAAAGAGTTCACACTGTATGAGTCCATTTATATAAACTTCTCAAAAATGCAAACTAACGTATAGTGACAGAAAGCAGATGAGTGG